TGGTTGTAGTAAGTCACATGGCTGCCCTAATGTTACCATTGGTCAAATAGTACATATTTCAAAAATTAAAAGAAATCGAGCTAGTTAAGAAAAATAAAGAACTTCAGTAATCATTTGTGTATTATCACTCCAGACATCGAGGCCAAATATTTGTCTTTAAATTGTGTTACCCAGACTGATATATCATGTCCAGTGCTTACCTCTTAATATTTATTTTCCTTATTTTAATTCACTGGTTATCAAAATATTACATAGAGTATTAATAGTGGGTATCCTGTTCTCCTGATTTTCACAAAAATGCTAATTATGAAGATCACTAAATGTGAGTTCTACTCTTTGTTTTTAATAAAGAACCCATGTTAAATGACAGAAGTTTCAGGCTGGTTTTAGTATTTATTAAATGTCTTGGTCCTAAATAAATGTTTAGTCCTACATAAATACTTTATTTAGGATTTTTGTCTTAAGCAAATCATGTGAAAATTTTCCTTTGATATATTTTACAGTGAATTACATTAATATATTGTATTATTTAAATCAATTTTGCAATCTGGAACAAACCCAGCCTGGTTAGGAGACTTCATATTCTTATATATTCATGGATTCAATTTGCTCCTATTACAAATAAGGCTCTTTGTAGCATTTATACACAGGAGCACAATTGGCCTATTTTTTTCTTGCCTTCTCCTAAATATATACATATGATATATAAATATATAATTACTATATAAACATTATCATAGTCTTGCAAAATGGAAGATAGTTTCTCTTATGCCATTGCTAGGAGTGTTTTTAGAAAATTGTAGTTATCTTTTTCCAGAATGTATGCTCCAACTCTCTGGACCCATAGTTTTCCTTGCAGGAAGAAATATAATTAAATGTATTTAATTAAATGATTAATTAAATTTATTTAATCAAATTAAATAATTAATTAAATGTAATTTAATTTATTTAATAATAGAACTATTCATATTTAGACTTTCTTTCTCCCTCTTTTCCTCCCTTCCTTCTCTTCCTTTCTTTTTCTTTCTTCTTTTTAAAAATTTTCTTCCTGAGACCGGGTCTTTCTATATAGTCCAAGCTGGCAGTGAACTCATTATGTAGCCCAGGCTTGCCTCAAACTCATAGAGATCCTCCTGCCTCAGCCTTCTGGGTGCTAGGATTACAGGTGTGCACCACCCCACCTGGATAGTATTTCTTCTTTTTGACTCTTTTCTTACTGAGGCGTAACTTGCACAGAGTGCACCATCCTAAATGTATAACTTCATGGGCTTTTTCAGCTGTCTCCCTGTGCAGCCACCACCCATATTGGGATACAGAAGAGGTCCCAGAGCTCCTGCAGGTTTCTAGGACCCATCGTGTTTGACCTCTGCCATGAGGAGTGAGCAGCATCCTGACTTTGTCACCAGAGGCTCTCTTACTCTGTGTTTGAGCTTCATGTGACACAGTACAGAGCATACTTTTACCTGGCCTGGCTCCCTGTGCTGGCCACCCTGCCTGATGTCCATCCATGTTATTGTTTATAGCAGTTGTTCATTCTTCTTTCACTCAGTTATATCAAGCCACTGTGAATGTGCCACTGTTTATGTATGCATTCTATCCTTGACAGATATTTGGATTATCTCCAATGCTTTCTTCTTGAATCAGCTTTCTTTGGAAATGATTTTAGGGATTTGTCCAATTTGCCTTGGAATTTAAGTTAATTGTCATTAAATTAGCTACAATATTTTCTTCTATTTGTGATCATACTGCATCTGTACTTTGTCCTTATTTTTGTACCTAATATTATTTATTATATATCTGCTGTTTATTTTTCTTGAACAGGTATACCAGAAGTTAGACAATTTTAACAGTAAATCCATGGTTTCCCCAAAACCCAAGGATGGAGGACATGCTTTGATTTTGTCTGTGAGTAGGACAGCAGTGGAACCCCCAGTACTTAAAAACTCAAGCTCTTCACAGTCTTACTATAGTAAGCTTTTCCCAAATAATGAGGGGATTTGCTTATTATTGTCTAACAAATACTATTTTCTTTACTTAAAACAAATTCTCATTCAGTATGGCATAATATCTATACATTGAGAAAAAGTCCATCTGAGCAACTCTGCAAAATGGTCACAAATTCTTTCCAGTCCCATTTTGTGTGTCCCTCTGCAATGCTCATTTGCTGGTCCTTCTTTGCGAAGAGAGTATTTGCAGCCTGGGAATCTGGGCTGGGCCACGTGCCTCAGTGTGGCCCCTGGAGCATGGATAGACAGGATGCAAGCAGAGGCTGGGAAGGCATGTGCACACTGGGCCCTCCAGCCTATGCTGCCTGAGGTTTCCTGCTACTACTGGAATGAGCCTGGGGTAGACTCCCATACCTGTCATTCCACCGACATCAACCATCTGCTAGATGGTGAGGACAGGTGAGACTATCCAGCTCCACCCAGCTGTTGGAGAACAGAAATTCTACTTATGAATCCACTGAAACGTGAGTAGAAAAGAATAGTATGTGGCCACATAGTTTAACTACAGTTTTCCCTAGGTACAGTACTTTTACTTGTTCTTCTTTTGGACAGACTTCTCAAGCACGGGTAGAGTTGGCAGGACTCACTTGTGTATTGGGGGTGACAGAGCTGACTGGGGAAGTTGAGGGACATTGCTAGATGATAGGCAGAGTTTCTTCCTGAGGAGCAGACTTGGTTGTGTAAGACTGTCCGCACGAGTCATGACTTCCTACAGCTAAACCGGGCACTCTTATGTGGTGGAGGAATTCTTACCCTGAAATGGTGACCAAAATGATACAAGGAAGCCCCACAATTAAAAATGAAAGTTAGCCTTTGGATTCACAAGGTATAAAGAGCAGCCAGCTATTGAAGCAATTGTTTGAAAATGGAGGCCGACTGTGTTATTATAGCAGGACAGAATAATCCACTTGTCCTGCTCACCATGTTCCATCTGTCGATTTTTAAACATATTTTCCCAAATTCCCACAAGTCTTTATGTGTGAGCTTCTTTTCTACTAATTTCTTGTTGTGTTGATGACAATGAAACCCAGGAGCTTATACATGCTACACAAGCGTCATTCCCCTGAACTACAACCCAAGGCCCTAAACTCGTTTTTAGTGGTTTTTAAAATTTTTATTTTTTATTAGTTTTCAGTACATAATGTTTAGATTCCTTGTGTTTAGTTTTTTAAAAATGCCCTTGCAAGAGTGTAATAATCAACAAGGGAATAGGATATTTGGCAAAAGGTGACAAAGTCTAAAGCTAGAACATTCTCACAGGAGAAAAAGGAAGACATTTGGGTTTGTTGCTGGCTGCTTTGCTTAACATTTCTACAAACATAAGAATTTATAGAGCACAAACACATAATTGACTAATTATTTCCTGGACAAGTTTTCTATTTTTAAGAGCAATGGAAGGCTAGAAATATTGGCTGGATGAGAGTATTCCCACATAGAGTGCGGGAGCATGGAGGAGAGGAATGTGAACTTTGGGTGACAAAAGAGTACCTGGAATTGACCTCACACCTGCCGTTCTACAAACCCACACACCCATGTGCAATTAGGCAGACAAAATGTCAGCCGTTCTTTTGCATCTATAGTTTAATTAAAATCCCTGTTTTGCAAATCCAACATTTAGAGATAATATCAAATGTTCCTCATAATCTCAAAAAGCACATGGATTGGGAGCAGGTATCCCAGGGTGAAAGATAAGGGACAGCTGCATAGGTTAAAAGACACTTGCATCACCGCACCACATTTAGGGCATCATTAGAAGCTTTGAATCCCCCGCCCCCACCCCAGCCAAAAAATAAAGAGCGCATTAGAGATCAGTCATTGTGTTGCTGCCTAATGGTGGGCCATTTTAATGAAGGAATTGAAAGGCTGAGGTGCTGGGAAGAGGCGGGAGGGAGAAGGTGTGCTGCTACTTCACAATTATGCATGCAGGACCCGTCGGCCCCTCCCACTGCTCCAGGTCCCAGCTGGGAGCCCGGGGAGCTCAGTTCCAGGTGGCCTCCTAGCAGACAGCGCTGGCTTTCAGGTAACCAAGTGTCTGCTAGGCAGAATCCTTTTCCCAGGCAGCCCAGGCTTCCTCCCAGCCTTCCTGCTGCAGTGGTCCATTTGCTGAGTAACTGGGAGCCAGGGGAGTGTGGGCAGGCAGCGAGGGACGAGGACCTATGGAAGATCATCTGTCACTCCGAAGGGACAAGGTGACATGCAATAAATTAATGGTAACTCAGCTTGTTCATCAGTACTCACTCAGTATTAGGCGTTCGTATTTAACCTCCAAATACACAGTCCTATGAGGAGGAAACGCGAACACAAATGTCTGCTAAATATTAAGGCATAGGGCAGACAGATGGTGTTGGGTTTCTAATCAGCTTTGCCCTGAGCTTAAAGTTGCTGTCCAGGCTGGGATGAGGGAAAGGCCCAGAGTGCTTTGCAGCTTTATGTTGGGTGTTTGCAAGTTAGCTCTGGGTGGCAACACACAGAACCATTTAAAGAAAATGTGTGATCCTTTACTTTGTTCAGTAGGGTGGATTGGCTAATATCCTGGGGTGTAGTAACAAACAGTTACTGTATGGAGAAATATATTATCAATAATTGCATACAAAGTAAGAAATTGGTTGCCCTGTGGACTTTTGAAGTGCTTAATCTGCCCAATAAAATCAAGATATTTATCAAAAGAATGAGTGTTTTTCTCGAAGCAACCTACTTCAAAATAGTTTTTGGAGAAATTCAATTGTTGTTCCTTACGCTTAGAATGAACCTAAATTTTCAAGCTTCCCCTTGACCTGCTGTGTTTCTGATTTCCAGGCACCGATGTGGGCTCCTCTGTTCGGCATCGCTGAGAACATCTTCGCTGCCACCTTGGTGTGAAAACGTGTGTGCACTTTACCCACGGTGGGGGATTGCCGTGGTGCTAGAAGGACTTCGCTAAAAAGTCCAGCGCAGCGTGGGCCTGATTATTTATTTAGGAAGGCTTTATCAGGCGGAGAATTCTTTGTTGTCAGTATGGACTGTCTGGCTCTTTCCCTGGGCTTCGGCTTCTTGTTTCGGGTCATTGAAACATTGATCTTTGCCTATGTGGCATCGGTATCATTGGCTGTCTCCGGGGGCCTCTTCCCAAGGCTGGAGAATGTGGGTGCCTTCAAGGGTGTCTCCATTGTGCCAGCCCAAGCCGTGTGTGGCCTCCCAGGCCCGAGTGTGTTTTGTGACAGCTCTACAGCTGCTGAAAGTATCCAGTTCTGTACCCAGCGGCTCTGTGTTCAGGATTGCCCCTACCGCTCATCTTCTGCTCCGTACACAGCCCTTTTCTCGGCTGGTCACAGCAGCTGCACCGCAGTGGACAAGAGCGATCTGCGTCCTCACTCCCCTAGCAATTCTACAAGTTTTATTTTTGGAAAGCACAAGAACTGCTTCCCTTCTCCTTCTCCGAGGCTGGCTGAAGCATTCACTTTAGCTGTGTGGCTGAAACTTGAGCAAGAAGGTGAAATGTAAGTAGAAGTGTGGCTTCCAGTTTTCCTAGGACCCTGCAAATAAGGAGTTAGTGGAAATTATTGCCAGTTAAAGTCCAAACTGGAAATGAAGCCTTAGACTGGGGAACTCGTGCTACTGGCTCTCATGTTAATCTTTCCTGTCCCAAGCTCACAATCTGAGTAGTTTTTTTTCCAGAATGGTTTCTCTTTTCTATGGATGAAGTGGAGCATGAAAAAAGAAAGTGTTAAAACAGTTTCATCACAGGCTGACGAGTTTACACCTGAATCATTTCTTTCTGCATAGGTTAATTCAACCTTTGGTCTTAGCCTCTGGATGCTGAACAGCTCAGTGGGAGAAGGCATGGGCACAAGTAATCCAAATTATTAATATTTTCAAAGCCGTGTTCTATGTTTATTATATAAAGAAAGTATCCTTACTTGGGAATAAAATTTTAATTCAACCAATAGCTCTTGAGTGCTTAAAATGGTATTTTATTCATCCTCATTTCCCCAAAAAGAGATGTTTCTTTGGCTCATGCGAGATGTTCAATAATAGAGGAGTTGGATATACGAATAACGCTCCAGCTCCAAAAGAATGTAGCTTTTGGCCTTTACTTTGTGGTCTTTTTCATCTCCTAATTAGTTGGGAAATATACAGATAAGCTAGAGAAACTCTCGAAAGCTTTCATACACTTGATCCCAGCAGAAATGTCTTTGAAATGAGTTTAGAGTGAGGCTTCCTCACCATGATTATTGCTAGTTTGTTTAATCTCCTATTTTTCATTCTGCAGTCTTTTCTCAAGCTGATGTCCAATGTATTTCCCCTAAGTAATATAGAGCCAACCTGGAAATTTTAATAAATAGGATAGTTTTGAACCTTTAAAAAATTTCATTTTAATCTTCCTATAGCACTGGTGATTCTTCTTCCAGTGACATTTCCAGTGTGTGAAAATGTTGGCTGAATATCAAAAACTTTATGCAACAAACCAGCAAAGTTTTATCATCCCATAAGCAAATACGACTTAAACATCTTCAGTGTTTAGTTTCAATTTTCCAATGAAAGATTGTGTATTTTCATTTTGTTTTAAATTTGAAGAGAAAATAATCATAAACCATTGTCTTTATTTTTATAGCTTCCCTAAATGACAAACTGGCTTTCTCACTGTTGGAAATTCAGTAAATCCAAGCTACTCCATTTAAACTAACAGCCAAAGAGTCTTAGAACATTGTCTCTTGACAAATGGGGCCAAAAGAAAATATTTTTCCCAAACTTACAGGAATATCTCTGGACCGAATTAATCTTCTATTGGCATTATTTTGTATAAACAATGACAGAGGGGTATTTATAGAAGTGGCAGCACATGGTTTATGGTTTTGAGAGTTCCTTGCTTATATCAAGGTCATTGTCATTCTCAAAACTAAAATACCTATGGGAATTGGGGGAATTTCGGGGTGTTTGCACTAGATAAGTGAAACAAACAAAACATGGATTATCCAATTATTGTTTATTCAGGAGCAGAATAAATCCAGTTCCTAAATATTTTGCTACCTGCCTTCCTCTCACATTTATTATCTACCGAAGCTAGTATGTTTACAAGCAAACAAAATAGCAAGGAAGATAATCAATAACATATTAAGAAATGCGTTTTCAGTAAGCTTGGGGAAATAAGTCTGCATTTGGTAAATACAATCTTGAGTAATGATCGAATTCTCACTAGGAGATTTAAACTCAAGAAAAATGAACAGAGGCAAATTCTTCTTAGATTGTTTAAGACCTGAAGGCAGAGGATAAAGAGAAGCTCTTTCATTCTACTAAATTAGAAATACCCAAATCTGATGGGTTAAAAGAGAATTGGCGGCAGCAGGATTTATATAAAACCTTCATGTTAACTAAAATTATTTGCCTAAATTAAAAATATGCTTGTTCCTATATCTTTATTACCACCTCCATATGCAAAACATAGTAAGTTAGTTCAGTAAAAAAGTGGCTGTCAGAGCCCTCCAATCTTATCCTGACCTCCCAGCTCAGGGAAAAAATAGATGCAAATGAGAAGAAATGATTTGTACAATGTTTACTGTTTCAGAAAAGCCTTAAATATCTTCAGCAATATTTCTTGTTTGGCCCAAATTTAGCCTTTTTTGAATGGTTTTAACGGAATCTGACCACCTTTGATGGTCTTGTGTCTACCAAACATGCTTCCTACTCTGATACTCCTGATCTAAGGGAGAAGACAGATGGATTCTTGCTCTTATTTAGGTAGTAAGAGCATTAAGTAAGCACAAAAGATGGTCCCTTTGATACCCTTGAGTAGGGATGGGGGTTCCGGGGACAGACCTAGGTATAGCGATGCCCAGATTCAGTATGTAGTACTCAGGTTAAGAAAGAAACCCAGGGTCTGAAAGGTGTACCACAGTGGTAGCTATAGAAGTGACTTTATTTTTTTTTGTTTTGTTTGGTTTTTTTTGGAGGGGTACCGGGGATCAAACTCGGGTCCTTGCACTTGTGCAGCAAGCAGCAAAACCACTGAGCTAAATCCCAGGCCCTATAGAAGTGACTTTTGAGACATATTTTGATAATTGGCCTAACACAAGATCTAGATATTTTCTAAGAAAAATTCTAGTTTTTAAAAATGCTGTGTTCTTACAAGATGGAATGACCTTTCACCCAAGGTCATGAACATCATGTCAGGGCCTCAGCTGGGCTCTGTGATCACGGAGAGGTAGCCCTTCAGCTTTCAGAGGGTGATGGGGTAAGTGGAGTCTGTGGCTGCCCATTCTCCATTTCATCATGGGAATTAAATAGAGCGATTCTAACTGCAGGGCTAACAATTTAGTGTCTTCCATGGACACTAAATTCTTTTTACATTAAAAAAAAAAAGATTTGTGCTGGTGACTCAATACCCAAGTGGGATGTCATGTGTTGTACCACTTCCTATCAAAAACATGGTACAGGAACTAATGAGCCAACAGGCTAAACGTTAGTTTTGCAGGATGATTCAACCACTTCAGTTTCCGTCATGAATCTCTAATGAAGGGTGTTGAGGCCTGGGGAATATATGGTAAATAAGAATTCTATTTTTATTGAAATAAAGTGGCTTCTTCATTGAAATAAAGCTTGCTTTGGGTATAATGTCACCCCGGCATTACTCAGAGTGCACTATTTTGAATGGGGTTTGGGGGTCACATTTGAACCATCTTGACTGCACGATGCCTTTGTATGTCTTCCTGGTTGGAAGCTGACCTTTGCTCCCTTTTCTGGTTGCTTCCTTAGGTGTGTTATAGAAAAGACGGTGGATGGGCAAAGTGTGTTCAAACTTACAGTATCTGAGAAAGAGACCATGTTTTATTATCGTACAGTGAATGGTTTGCAGCCTCCAATAAAAGTAATGACACTGGGGAGAATTCTTGTGAAGAAATGGATTCATCTTAGTGTGCAGGTGAGTAAAATAAAAAATATTTAACATTTGGTTAAACACAAGAATCTATCTTCCTTTCTCTCCTTTAAATGGCATCTATCCTCAGAATCTGAAGCTGTGTCCTGTAGATTTCAGGGATGTATAAAAGACAACTAAGAAAAATATTGCAATGACCTAACGATATGTCTCTTGATATACTACAGTAGCCTCCCCTCCCTCCAAAACTGCTGTAAAAACTCCCAGAAGCTTAAGGACAATGCTATTTGTAGAAATAATATATTCATTTATTTTACTGTATTTGTTTGATATATTTTACTTTGTGTTTAAAAATATGTAAAAACTCCTTTGGGGTCTAGTGATAGTTTTACTGGTCATGGCAGTCTGGAAACCATTGCTGGAGTTTTTACAGCTGTCTCTCTCAGATAGCATCTGATGATGTGAATAAAATTTGGCTGTTGCATTAAACGATGACCTTAGAACTAATGAACTTTACGCTTGAGCACTCAAAAGGTGCTATGTTATTATTTTAGTTGTCAACCACAGCTCGCTGGAGCCTCAGAAACTGTGAAAGGCAGAGATAGCTGTGAGATGTCTGTATTTGCAGCTCCTGAAAGAGAGGCACAGTTTACCCTTTTGTTTTTCAGTGCATTGGAATGGGTTGGTGCTACCCAAAGCCACATTCCTCTTCCAACCACAGCTCCCAGTTTGTGTTTTCCTAGGAGCGAACACCCAGTGGCCCAAGCAACCCGACTCCCCTTGAAGTCATTCGCACCCTAGTTTTCACTTGCACATTTCATGCAAATTACCTTCCACTTCTCATATGTACGGACTTTGCTCCGAAGCACAGGTAGAGAGTGGTTCTACTTGGAGAGCCTTGTGAATTGTTGTTTGGCTTTCAAGTATCACTTTAAGAGAGATACCTTTGCTCCGAAGCACAGGTAGAGAGTGGTTCTACTTGGAGAGCCTTGTGAATTGTTGTTTGGCTTTCAAGTATCACTTTAAGAGAGATACCATTCTTGACAGTTGAAATACATTTTGTACACATCTTTACTGTGCCTGATTAGAGCTATGAAACTCTGCCATGTGTTGGCAGACCAGGGCATTAAAAGCTTTTGGAGGAAAATGTAAAATAAAAATGCAGGAAAGAAACCGAGATTGAGTTTCAGAAGGCACTGGCAAAGTAATACCTCATCAGCACGTTCTGCTCCATCTACTGAGAACTTTTGCTTAGGAAATGCTGGGTTAGAGGTGTAGTTAGCAGCATTTCTGTGCCAGCAGGGCTGAGAGGACACATGAAGGCTCAGGCCTGTCTGTGCCCTGTGATCCTTTCAGTCAGTCAGTGTCAGCTCCCTGTGGTGCAGCCACTAACAAATAAGGGACGCATCTGTCCTGTCCTGTAAAAGCCTGCTCTGCCCACTCCCCAGCAGCTGAATTGAGGTTTAAAGTTTAAAGCCGAGAGATAGAAACTGCTGAAGAAAGGTACCTTATAGAAAATGCCCACAAGGTGAGTTTATGGCACATTTTGGTATCAACGGTGATTTTTAAAAAATATTTTTACTTGCTTCATTCTGTGAAACAGTGCTCAGTGTTGGCAGGCAGTGGTAAATTAAAAGCTATACAAAGAAAGTTTAAAATCTGAATGCAAAGAAATCCTGTGGCCGAATGACTCTCCTGGGAGTAAAATGCTCTTAGCATGCCTATTGAAATCAGTGTTATCATTTCAGTACATGTCAAATATGAGTCATTGCCTAGTTTAGGCAAAAATTCTTTATAAATCTTTAAATCTTCCCCTTCTTTCAAGAAAAGGCTAAAGTACTTATGATTTAATGACATTGATTTATTTCATAACCGCTTGACTCTCCAGAGAAAAATGTATACTTTCCAATTTGCACATTTCTTTTATTTTTAATTTTTGGATACATTTTAAACTATTCTCTATTATGTATACATTAAAACTATAGACCTAAACAATTGTAAACATTAGAAAAGCCTTTCAGATCAGTTATTTACAAGGGGTGATCAAAAATACAGTCAATGTTTACAAACATTATTATGGTAAACACATTGGTACTAGTCAAAATAATGCAAAATGCTCCCCTTTGCTTCAGACTCCTTTAGCCCATCATTCTTGCCTCTTTCTGAAGCATTTTTTGAGGACCTCTTTATGAGCTGTAATCAGAAATGTGGTGAGGGCTGCTGCCAAGTGCCAGCCAAAGGAAAGGCAGCTCCTAAAAACACGATACTGTGTCCTCATCACTGGATCCGGCACTGTGCAACATCTGGCTTTTCTGCAGAGTCCAAATGACCATCAAATATACATGTTTTAAATCAATTCAGGACACTGCGGGAACCACAATAGTGTAACAAAAGACACTCCTGAAAAAGGACTTCCGGAACTGCTTCAGACAGTGGCAAAAATGATGGCATAAGTGTGTTTGAATTGGGGGGGAGCATCTTGAGGGGAATCAATGGCAATGTCTCTTTTACTGTAACATATTTTTGAGAATTTAAAGAGTCAGAATTTTTAAATTTTAAAAATTTAAACATTTTTTAAAAAAAATCAGCCCTCATAATCATCCCAGACTTACTGAATGTTAAGAGGTACCCTGCCTTAGGAGCCTCTGTATCACTCAAATGAAAATGAAAGGGTATTTATTTACCCTCAATTGGAGAAATGCATTGGGTCCCTTATATTGGACACCAGTCTGAGTATATTTGACAGACGGAATTTGTAAGAACCCATGTTATAGGTATTTAATAAGGAATGGACTCGTTTTTAAACAGTTGTGCTGAGGAGTAGTGGGAAGGGAGGGAAGTCTGATCCAGGTAACGGGCAGTACTCTGTAGTCTTAAGAACTTCACTTGGCTCAGCTTCCGCACTTATTTAATGAGAAGATTCCATTTGACAAGCAAAGGCCCATGAATTCCACACGAGAGGTAAGTGGAGAGTGTCAGGAAGTGCAGTTTGCTGAGGTAAGGAAGCTGCCCGGCTGACGTTGGCTGCCTGGAGAGTGAGCAACAGAGCAGGCTGCAGGAACCGATGGCCAGGCCCCTGCTATTGCTGGTGCCTGCTTAGACCAAACATTTTTTGGTAGAGTTTGTGGTCAGGATACAGACAAATAGAACGGGTTCCTCTTTCATTATATAATTGCAAAGAACATTTGCAGAGAAAAGTAAATTATCAGTTACTGTTGCGTTGCAATAGTGTCCAAGCTCTGATTTTGGGATTACAGACTTCTGTCCTGCCTGGGATAGGAGAGAACTTGTGGCAATTAATAATCTAGTTTAGTCAAGTTTCCCATTGCAAGCCCTTACTTAATGTGTATGTATATTTTCCACACATCCTCTACCTCCACAAATCAGTGAATTTATGCTTTTGTGTGTATTTTAAAAGAAAACCCAGTTCTACTCACGCAATCGCTCAGAAATCAGAATTTAAATCCAAAGTCACACAAAACTAATTAATGAATCCAACCTAATGCCTTATCTCAGATATTTACATTATATGGGCTTTCTATCAATAAAATTGAATTTCTAATTTCTAAAATCAGAAGTGAAGAAATGATTTTTAAATAATTAAATCCCTGGGCAGAAAAGATTTTAGGAAGAGCCAGGCATACTGAACATCAGAGATCTAATTTCCTAAACAAAAAATGTCCAATATTTTTATAGTGATGGATCTAACCACATTTATCCCAAAACTAGCATTTTGAAGGTGAAACTTGTTGGAAAATGATTTATTTTTAAATTAATATTCAGACTTGAATCTGACATGATTGCCAATTTAAATTTCACTTTGGGGTTTAATATATTGACTATTTCAAATTATATCAAGCTGAAGTTCGTTATGTCATGTTTTTATACTAAAATTGGAAAAATCAATGGAGACTTTTTATTGTCAAGTGGGAACACTGATAATATTAGCAGATTTTTTAAAAGCTGAGTTTTCATATTGGATCAGCACCTACTGTAGTTACTAAAAGAGCCCTTTTTTTAAGCTTTGGAATATGTATAATAATTTTCCTTTAGCATTTTATTATGGATTAGTAGGTAAAACAATCTGAAACCGTATACATTTAGTTACATATACTTAAAAGTAAAGCCTCAGAGTTTCCTGTGAAAAGTCTTCACTTTTAATTGATTTCACATATTTTATGAGATAAGTAGCATCCAAGAATTATCAGGCTAGTCACACTTCTAGTAATCATGCCGAATTGAAGTACAATTACTATAATTCAAAACTGAAAAAATAGTACAACATTGTAACCATATGAAATGATTTAGCAATGGAGTTACCCTCATTTTCTATGCTATTTTGAAGGTCCTTTGTTTTGATACGTTGACAACACATGAACTACAGAACTATAGCTAAAATAGTTTGGAAAAAGAGCAGCTTTAATCTGATGAGTGAAAAAGCATGGGTAAATAAAGTTTTAGGATTCGATAGATGAAGGATAGGCGTTTCATAATCACAGTTTGCTCATGAAGTATGTTCTTTCGATTTATGTATTCAATCTGAAAAAAGGAAGACTATTGATAGTTCCAAGAATAAGAAAATACAATTTGAAACAACATTTGTTAGAATAGATAAACCAAGTCTTGCAATTAATCTGTGTGCATACCCGTGTGCACACTTAAAAAGACTATTTCCACATCTCTGTTGATTGAGGTGACATAAAATATCCATGATACAGTGCTTTCTCAGTCTGCTCAGAAAGCTCGAGGTCATGGGATTTCCATAGGATCACTACCCCAACCCTCTTACCCACTGCAAGAGCATCACAACCACACTATTCCTGTAATAACTTTCATTGCCTTTAATTATAACTATATGTGTGAAATGTAAATATGCATGCATGTGTGTGTTCAACATTGTTTGTGCAGACCCTCTATTTCACCATCTGAGTATCACCTAACTTAGCTGAATAGTTTAGGGTTATTCAGAACTAAGTTTAGATCAACAGAACTAATGAAATTTTTCAGAATTATCAGTCAGAAATAAGAATAGCTGCCAATATGGA